CCATTAGATAGCTTATTGATTTAAAAGAAAAATATGTAACATTTCAATGCAAGATCTGATGGTTACCACCTTAGCCAAGTGATCAAACTTAGCAGCACTTAAAGCGGGACTACATATTATGTTTCTCCTGATGTGATGTAATACGAAGTACACATCCTCCTATATTAAGTATTATAGCAAAAATGTTTGATTTACGTCTTTTCAAGTTTTATTTAGACTCAATTTTCATTTTACAAGAAATTTAGAGAGTAGAGAACAAATTAAGTAATGCTGTGAGGGGCAAAATATTTCAGACAAATCAAGGAAAGTGCGACATTTTTGGAAGCAATTGTCCTCAGTTTTTCAAATGTCAATATCAGTAGAAATAAAAAGTGGGAGGGCTATTATAGACTAAAAATTCTAAAGAGGCATAATGGTGGGATAATGGTACCACAAAAACCTCACCAAAACATAAAATACAGTTTTGAACTATTGGGGAAATTTGAATATGGAATGGATATTAAATAATATGGTATTATGTTTAATTTGGGAAGCTTGATAAACAAGCATGGTTATATATAGCATGCTCATATTTCAGGATAAAGTATAATGGTATTTATAATGTATTTGCAAGTGTTGAAATAACAGAAAGTATCTGTATATGTATGGTTTGTGTATTATACCATATATTTAAAAAACACAGAAAGGTGGCAGAGAGGAAGGGAGAAAAAGTACGCATGAGAGGACCCCAAAATATCCGGAATTTATTTATATAAATGTGTATTTTTTTCTTACATGTTTAAGCTTCAGTCACCTTCAAAGTACTCTCCCTTTGAAGCAATACATATAGCAAGACGTTTTTTCCACTGCTCAAGTCAGTTTTTGAACTCTTCAATTTTGAAATCATTTAGTGTTTCTGTCTTTTTTGGTTTCACCTCTTCCACATCAGCAATATGTTTTTCTTTGAGGACTCTTTTCATCCGGGAAACAAAAAAATAGTTGTTCAGGGTGAGATAGGGTGAATAGGGAGTGTGGGGCACGAGGATCATTCTGTTTTTGGTTTAAAACTGCTGAACACTCAAGCATGGTGTGGGCAGGTGCGCGCATAAATCACCCATCAAGAAATGGGCAAACACATTGAAAGAATCTAAAACAAAAAAAATTAACTGAAGCCAAACACAGTCTCACACAACAATGCTAGTTGGTACACTGATGTTGATAGGTTCCTGGAACGCTAACCTAGCAGGGGAAGCCTGTACAAGGGATCTGCCTTTCAAAAAAATTCCGTTTTTTTTTTTTTTTTGGTCCTCCCACATATTGCAAAATGGTAGCAATTGTAGACTCTAGGAAGTTAGGAAGAGGAGAGGAAGGTATATGGGTATTCATTTCACATGTATTTGAATTTTCAATGTACTTGAAATTTTTTTTTTCACTGAAAAAATTTCGAGGAAAGAAAAATTTCAAAAAATATTTTCAATTGAGTACCATTTAAATTAAAACCATTATTCCTCAATGCATGTTAGTACAAGAATTGCCTCATCTGTGAAATAAAGAAAGTAATATCACATTTGTCTAAAAGGAGGAACTATAATCTCTTGAAATCAGTTTTTATTGCTAAAGGTTATGATTCAGACACTCCTCAGTTTAGAAACTCCATTTCCCATCACCTTGTTCCCCCCTTTCATTCAATCTTTTATCAACTGACATTATTCTAAATAAAATCCTCTTCATTATGTTGTCAACAACCCATTGCCTGAAAGCCTGGCTCCCCACAGTTCCTTGACTGGTCCATTTTCTCCCAGAGTACTCCAGAAGAAAAGGACTGTATGAAGATGGTGACTGCATATTAAAATGACCAAAACCATAGTAAATTAGGATGAGGTTCTGGGCAGATAAACAGGTAGCTAACTAAATACAGTTAGGATCATTTTTTATGCCATGGAACTCCTTGGCAATCTGGTGAGGTCCAGGATTCCTCATACTAATGTTTTTAAGTCCATAATATAAAATACATAAGAATCTAAACAAAACCAATTATATGGAATTACAATTATAAAACTATTACCAAGACAAATTTGTGATATAGTTATACATGTGAATATTTATTGACACAATAAATGAAATGATTACATTAAAAAATAAAATGCAGATCTAATAACTACTGCAGTTCTGAAGTGGTAATAAGCATGAACAATATTTTTAAATACCTACAATAACTTTAGTGAGACATGAAAATACCTGAAATTTCATAAGTACTACTAGTATTACTGTGGTCTTTTGCCTACATTCAAAATGGAAAGGGATGCACAATTTCAGTTAGAGGTTAGTTAAAACAACGTGGTATTTTTTTCTCCATTCAAAATCATGGACCCCTTTGGATTCTATCCATGGACCTGGGCTTAAGAACCTTTGCACATAAGCTTGTTTTGCTTTAACCTGTGACTTCTTTTTATAGCCAATAGGTTTTCATTTGCATCTCGTCATACCCCAAGATCATTTTCATGGCTAAACCATCATTAGCCTCATCACTATCATGCTTAAACCTATAGATATTATCTAGTTCTTCTGCTACATAATGGAAACCACAGTGAATTTTCTATCTTAAATTACACAGCTAATTGACTATATTTTATACTTCATTTGCTTCCAATAGACTAACCTTAATGGATGCCCACTACTTAACTTTTGAGAATTTTCATTTCATATTTCTGATATCTTGCATTTTCAAGGAGAAAGGCTTAAAATTATGTAGCTATTAGGCTACAAATAGTACTCATAGACTTATTTGCTTAAATTATGCACTTTATTTCATGGGTGTCCTTGGACTAAATATGTCTAACAGCTGTATTTAAAGCCCAATACAAACCAAGAATACTGCTGTTAAGTTGAATAGGCATCTTATTTTTCACCTGTACAATAACTTCTATTTCCTTCTAAATTCTGCTTGGGTTGCACTGATTGCATACTACTGATTAACAATAGTTTTATGATTACAGCCCTTCCACAATTGTTAGGTTAACATTTTCTTTATGAGGTCTTATTTTATTTATTTTTACCTGATTTGCTACTAGATGCTTGGAAGTAGCTCTGAACACATTGGTAAAACTGGCACTCATATTTTATTACATTTTTACATTTTATAGAATTTAAGTGATATAAAAATCCTGAGGAAGTATGCTACAAAAGTGATCTCAGTGGAAATTTAAATATGCTAACATTTATTTTAAAATGTAGCGTGAAGTAGACAACTTTAAAAGCCGAGTTAAAAAAAAAAAAAAAAAAAAAACTCAAGGAAGCTGATCTTGACTTTTTAAAGCACAAAAGTGCAATATTTAATGTAGGTCAAAATGTTTAGATGGGAAAATTTTTTCTAACCAATTACAACCAATTCCCTAGCTGTAATTAACCTACAATTTGTATAATATTTCACAACAGAGTCAGCATATACCATTTTCCTATGTACTTATCTAAAATTTTTTAGCTTATTTGGTGAATAGGCATATTGTTTCATCCTTATTTATAAATTGTAATTTGCACTTAGAAGCCAATAACAGGCAACAAAATTTTGAAAATTTAGGAGCATGAGAGTAAACAGAGAGGATATTAACATTCTCTATTCAAATACTATGTGAGTAAGATATTTAAAAATAAGAAATAACACTTTGTATATAACATAGAAAAAAATTCCTAAATCAACTTAATCTACTTTATGAATTCAAGATATATATAGTTTTATAGCATGCTATTCAATTTTTCTTCACTGTTCATTTCTTACCATCTCAACTTAGAGTAGATTGATCCTAGATCAGAAATGACATTATACGGGTTTAAACCTGTTCATAATCAGTTGACTAAGTAAGGGAATACTTGTAAGATGCATAGAAGAATATTAATCTGGAAAAAAGTATGACTTACCCAAGGAAGTAGTTTGACTACAAAACTTAGTTTTTATCTTATCTATATATAATCGAGAATATTATCTAAACCAAGATTTAACATAAAAATATTTTAGATGATTCTATTATTCTTTAACTTTGGCAAGATGAGTGTGTCTGTAGGTGTCAACCAATGTGTTTGTTTTGTATAAGAATATGAATTGTATCTACTTTCTGAATAATCCAACATGAGAATAAGGCAAGAGGAGGTGGGCAAAGACAATGAACATAATTTCAAAATCTTCTTTCTAATACATCTTAACCAAAGACGTTTATATCAGTGAGTTGTTTCAGTTCCCTGAATATTGAAATTTACCTATTATGTAGATTATAGGTAGGCTTGGCAATAAAACTGAGTTTTCATTGTTCATAACAAGAGCCTTATTTGGTAAATAAAGGCCAAGTTTTCCCTTATGAAACAAGACACATTAACATCAACAACTGAAAGCATAATACAAAATTCCATTTATAAAATATCTATGTTTTCCAACTGGAGCAGCATATTTGGCTTTCTGTGCTTTTAATACATTCCAAGGGAAACTTAAATGATGATTGAATTTTTGGGGGGTTTTGTTTTCCCCTGTGAATTTGGACATTTTTGACTCAAGTCTCTCTTCAAGAATGTACTAACAAATGTAGTGGAATTAGAGGTAGGTATTACTATAGTGTTTGTTAGCGTCATAGTCATATTCAAAGCTATTAAAAATGAAGCAAAGAGTTGTCTTTCCTACAAAATAGTGATTTGTGATGGCTTTTTCTGATCTTCTTTAAAAAATAATTGAAATTCAGCTTGTCAAAGTTGGAATATACTGAAGACATTTACATGTAAGCAATTATGTGTGCTTTTTGAAACAAATTTGAAAGTTTAAAATACCAGAAAAGCACTATCTAACTAGCAACAACTATATAATTCAGTATACAAAAAATAAAAAATTATTTACTGCTGTTGATTATCTGTCATTGGGTTCCTTCAAGATAGTGCCTTTTACCTTGCTTATATTCTTCTTTTGGGAAATCTTTTTGTATAAGGACAGTTTAAATAGCTCTACTAAAATTTTAGCATTTCTATTTTATCTGTTACACTACCTCTTTTTTCTTTCTGCCAGCTGTTTGCAGACCTCCTGCCACCGCAGATTCAGGCTTCCCAATTTTTCTTGTAGAATATTGGCATCTGTTTTTGAGGACTGCTGGATGATTTCTTCGCCAGTTGTATTCAATGTTCTGACAACAGTTTGTCGCTGCCCGATGCCATCCTGGAGTTCCTGTAAGATACCGAGAAGGCAAGACAGAAATGAATCCTCATGCTCTTTTATTTTAGAGAAGATTAAACAATGTGCTACCACATGCAGTTGTACTGTGAGAGAGAAATATAAAAGCCACATGTGAAAATTTCTTTACGAAACTGACATGCACTTATAGAAAGGATGAAAGACAGAGAGACACCTTTTATGTGTCAGGGAAAAAGCACTCTCTCAGTTTAGCTTCAGTTTTTATTTTGTAAGTTTGTCAGCTAGAGAATGTCCTGCAAATCAAATAGTTGGAAACCTCAAGAACAAATTCGATTTCTTGTCTCCACAAGGATGTTCCATGTTTAATAGTCTATAAAATGTTGTAAAATTTAAACATGAACAAAGTATCTGGGATTCTTTGTGACTGTCGATATGAGAGGTAAAAAATAGCAAACAGTTCAGCCACAGTATATTTTTAAAAAAACCCTCCAGAGATGTTGCAATAAAATTAATTAATATATTAGAAGGAAATTTATTTCAAATTCTATTTGCATCAATGTATTTTGCATTAGAAGCCACATAAAACTGAGAATTAATTGCTTTCAGGGATAGCCCATTAAGAAATCCCTAAGGTACAGTAATAAATTTTAAAATAATCTATAGCCACTAGAACATTTTTATGAGTCATTCATGGTGTCAAGCTTAAATATCTTCTACTTTTTATCCTTAATGACATTTTAAAAGTAAAGTAATTTAAAAAAGAGTTCCAATTAAAAAGAGACGATTATAACCAAATATACAAAAAAGTCAAAATGCTTTTTAACTATTAAAAAAGGCAGTTTACCTTTTTTGAAAGATAATCTAGAACTTATAAGGCAATTAAAATAACACATTATTAAATATGAGCATTAGAAAATAAAGTAATATTTGAGAACTTGAGATACCAACCACATTTATCTCAATGACTCCCAACTCCTTATGTTGATAACAGAATAACATCAACCAATAGAACTTTCTCCTAATAGATGTCATTCAAATTGTATAATATTCTTATATTCCCCTACGCCTTGACCCAATATCAAGCCTGTAGTAGACCCCAGTACATGCTTGCCATATGATGGAATGAATACATGTTTTCTGAGACTGAAGCAAATATCCCTTAGACTCTCATTCCACATAAACTTATTGATATTGTTTTATCACTGTCAAGTACATTTATTTTTGAATACTAAAATTTTTGTAGCATAATTTTAGCTATTCAAAGACTGTAAATCAGTAAAACGATCACAATGTCACTAGTACTGCTCATGTCCTACAAATCAATTAGTTGGAAAACTCAATATGAAACTAGGCACAGTTAGTGAACTATTCACAAGCTGTCCTGACCATACTCTCTTGAATGCCTCATTTGATATTTCCTTGTAACTTTGCTCCATTGCTTACATCTCATTCTTTACCACCTGTTCAAATCAATGTTGCATGTGACAGTCACTGCTAGTAATAGAGACACCAGTCATAATGCATAATACACTATATCTATATTCCTATTATACTATAAATTCTTTGAGGTCAGAGATTGTGTCATAATCATGATTATTTCCTATTGCTTAATACAATATCTGATGCATGAAAAGTTGCAGTAAGTATCTGTTGAGCGAATGCATGAATCTATGAATAAAGGAAGTTGAAAAGAAGAGGAGGGAAAAAGAAAAGAATAGATGAAGGAGGGTGGAATGAAGAAAGGAAAGAAGGAAGTTCAGTTGCATTATCTCCATCATATCACTAGTATTGATGGTTATAATTGAGCCTTCTAGAAATTCAAATGAATAAGCACAATTTTATAGGTTTTAGGCAGAATATAATCTTGTTGAAAAGGTTATTTGTAATAGTATCATGGTAAATGATAATTTGTTATACTATACACAGTAGAACAAAAAAGCAAATTGGTCAATAAATGGTAGGTTAGAGGAGGAATGATTTCAGTGGAATGAAGAACAGAAGGGACTTCAGGGTGGACATGGAATTTAAAGAATGGGCAGAACTTAGGCATATGGAGGGTTGGGGACGATGAGAGGATGGCAGAAGTTAAGGACTGTGGTGTGTAGTCTCCATGATCTAATTAGGAGTATAAGGAGTTAAGAGAGACATGTAGCCCTGGGTGTTGGCCAGGGCAGAGAAATTTTTTTTTTTTTAAATTAAGAAGTTTGCGTTTTGTTGGAAGGCAAGAGATAACAACTGAATTTTTAAGTACGGGGTGTCAAGGTTAGAGCTGTGTTTTTGGATAATTCTGATGCAAAGCTTACACTAATGTTGAAGCAGGGAAACAAGGAAAATAGCTAGTAACAGGAATTTGGTAATTAGGTGTTGGGGCTTAAACTAGTATTTTGACAATGACCAGAAGGAAATGCTAGAGGTAACATTATCTGTTGAAGAAAAATCAACATCATTTAAGAACAAGCTGAATCATGCAGGCATGAGTGACTATCAAAATGGAAAAAAAACTTTGCTTAACATACAGAAGTTAGCAAAGCAGTTAGAGGGGAAAGAGCATGGCTCATATCTGTGCCTCCAGTGGTGCCCAATACTTACAACTATTATTTCATACTTTAAAAATGCATGAGCACACATCCAATGTGTGCTACATCAGTGCCTCTCAAGCTTTTTGCACTAGAATTTCCTGGAGATCCTGTTCAACTTCAGATTCTGATTTAGTAAATATGGGGAGTATCCAAAATTCTGTATTTCTAACAAACTTCTATAAGGATGCTAATCCTGTGGTCCAGGAATAACAGTTTGATTGGCAATGTGATGGAGCATATGTTTTCTAAGTCTTTCTTAAGTAATCAAGGCATTTTTATTGCTGGTTTAATGCTATAAACTCAAGCTGCTTCAGAATTTTTACCTCAGCCTCTTTGCTTTCTGTTTTTGATCTTGGTCCTTCATGATTGATGGCTCCAGTGACTTTTACAAGCCAATTGAAGAATCAACAAGGGTTTTATTATTTCTGTTTCCCAAATAAGAGATAGAATTGAATAGCTCAATAATTTAACATTGTTATATCTAAATCTTATTTATATAGAATCTCAAATCAAAGCCTTCAAGTTTTTTTAATTTTGTGAAAGAAGAACTAATTAAATAGTCTACTGCATTTGTGTCAGAAGATATTGTAACTAGGATAAATATTTACACTGTATAGTCTACTCAAGGAGAGCTTTCTGTGATAAAGCATAAGAGAGCCAAAATAATGAATCAACACAGGAAGTAAAAATTTGTTCATGGTATTGGTTAGCCTCTGAGCTGGAAAACAATAACACTGGATTTACAAAATGAAAGGTAAAATCTCAATCAACTTTATTCACACAGTAAAAATCATGAATTAATTTTAATTCTGTACCTTCTAAATATTTTCAGTCTTCCATTATTCATTACCAATAAAACTTCCAAGCTTGGCTATCATATAAATATACAGTTGTCATAGCCATCCTTATCTATTTCTCTGGCAATTAACATCTAGTCTTAGTTTTGGACAGAAAGAAAATCATAATTAAATCTATTGGATTATTCATCATAGTTAGAAAGCTTATTGTGCTTTGTTTCCAATATTGAAACATTCATTCTTAATAAACAGTACATATCAGACTCCCTTAGGGAGATTTTTCAAAATATGGAAACCCAGAGTTCTACCCTAAGTCTGCTGTATCAGAATCTTCTGGGGGAAGGGGACAAAGGTGTGCAAAACAGATATACTACAAAAGAAAGGGTAGGCTAGAGATATGTGAAGAGGACAGGGAAGCAAGAGGGCCAAATTTTAGAATTACTGTATCATTCTCAACTTCTTTTATGCTTTTTAAATCAAGAAGTGTTCCTAAATTATAGAAAATCATGTTATTACATATCTAAGTCTTTCATGTCTGGTCAAATTGTGGGAAAGTAAGCATTTTTATTGAGGGAAGAATATAAAACAAGGAAACCACTACCTTTTTTATTTAAAGAATTTCATAGATCTTTAAAAAAGTATATTTGTATAACTTTCCAAAGCTGTATGAAAGCACAATAAATGGAAAATAAAATGTGACAAATGAAGAAAAAAATAAGCTAAGAAGCAGTTATGAGAAATTGTACAATGATAAATTGAATGGGCTACATAGGAGATAAAATTGGCAAAAAAATTGCAAACTAGGGAACAGGATAGCAAAATAGAACAGATAAAACGGAATTGGGAAAAAAGATAAAGACAGGGAAATGGAAGAAAGAAAAACATTCATTGAACAACTAGATGTGTCAAATGTCTACTGATATTTATTTGTGATTTTGATAATGCATTTTCTTGAGACATGTTAATCACTAACTCAGTTTGCTGATTGATTGGTCAAGGGAAAGTATGTAATAAAATGAATGTTGTGGGAAGTTGCAAAACTGGCAGATAAAATTTTATGGTGCAATTTCATAAAACATATGGTGCTGCATTTTCTCTTTTGGTCCTGATTAACATCATTCTCATTGTTTCTCTTTGTCAGCCCACAGAATGGAAGAGTTCAAAATATAGTCTCTGGTGCTTTTCTCAAAGATAAATTAAACAAGTTAATCTCTTCTATTAATTCTTAGACAATATAGTCACCACTGTTTCTATAGATTTAAAGACGCTTCAGCAGGCATCTTATCAGATGATGGATTTTTGTAAGGAAGCAACACAAATGGATTAATATTTAAGACATATAACATGCACAGCAATAGGATACATTAAGGCCCATCCATAAACTTGGTGATTTCATCCAGATGGAAGACCTGATAACCCTGTAGGAGCATCTGATGTGGATAGTCAGGAGGGTTGAAAAATGCCTAAAATTTGGGAATTCTGGGACTTAGAAAAGGGAGAGAGTGGCAAGAGTGAGAAAAGAGTATAGAAAAAAATTAAAAAAAAAAAAACAACAGGAATGAGAGTTGTCAGCCACAGTGGCTCACAACTGTAAACCCGGTGTTTTGCAAGGTCAAGGCTGGAAGACCCCTTAAGGCTAGCAGTTCATACCAGCCAGGACAACGTGGCAAGACCCCATCTCCATCAAAACAAAAACAAAAACAAAGAAAGAAAGAAAAAGGAAGAAATGGTAGTTATTAAGTAAAGAAT